AATTTGTAGATAGATTTTTCATTTTCATTACTTTTTTCGATATTTATTTATAATCCACATTAATTAAAACTTTTATCCAATTTGTGTTCTACGCAGCTCACCGTACAACACGCGTATGTTCTACCAGTGATACTCGTTTGCACACAGTACACAATTTTTTACCTGCAAACTGACAACTCGTTTGCGTACATTGAAAAACGTGAAAACCCAGAAAATACAAATTTTTACCCGAAAAATGACGACTCGTTTGCGTATAATTATTAAATTAGACTTATATTGTTACTCGCAGTGAACATTTCGATAAAATTCWCGTAATCACAAAAGTTTTTGTTACAAATGTTTCAGACATTTATGTAACAAATTCAATTAAATTAACAAAAATAAAAAACATTTTTAACCATGTCTGTTGTGTACAGACGGTCCTAGCCTGTACACGCAAGAAAAATAAGTTATTTTTTGGTTTTAACTTTTAGTAGACTTTTGCTATAGGTTATGTACGCAAAGGAGTCCTACGTTTTGGGTCATTTATCACAGGTATTAGAAATTCGATCGCGTAATTGAGTTGTACATGATTAAATTTGTACGCAAGCGAGTTGCAAAAAAAGTTAAATGTATGCAATTGAATATCATCCGTATGTCATTCGTACCTTTTCTACGGATGACGATTACCAGGTAATGTAATTTATTATCCATTTAGTCACATTACATAACACGCACGTATTCCATTCAGAGTCAACATGAATAAAACCCTTCCGGGCAATCTCCAAAAATGTCTACACTTAATAAACCTAAGGCCTCTTTCATAACTTATAGACAAAGAACAATGTCTATATAAAAAAAKAAAACAGTCTTTAATAAACTCTGAATAATACATCTCAAACTAAAAAATCCAACGCAAAAACTACGGCAGAGTTTATGATAGAAAAAAATCGATTATCAAACAGTCAATCATTTCTTCTGTATCTGGACTCGCCTTCTAAGAATACGCACTTGCATACCCCCTCCCACTACATCTACATCGCATCTATCTCAGCCGATATCGCATTTCAATTAACCCGTACTAATAACTTCATCGTTGATCGAGCATCCAATCAAACCTACCTCTATATTTATAAATACCAGCATGGATTCACTACGGCCACCGCCATGGAAAACATTTCAAGCAGAGAGTAAGCGATAGTGTTTAATTCTTTCAAAAAAACATCTCAAATAGATTACATAATCGTCATTGGCAAAATAGTCAAACCTATCAGCATTATTTTCATATCGAGAATTTATAATCATTGTTTCTGTACTGTCCTTTATAGTAAACAAGCTCTGGATAATTTAATGCAACATACCCAATCAATAAATATTTATGACCAAAGTATATGTAAACTAGTTAATCCGGCTAAACGTATGGTTATATATAATGCATGTCCGTCTATTCCCAACCAAGCAATATTAGATGCATTAAAACTTACAATATTATTAACCCTACCTCGCAAATTAACCACCTTGAGGCCTGGCTTTAACACGGAAGRCTAATCAACTTAAACGACAATAAATTTAGAATTTTCCTTACGGAATATATTTTAAATTTTTTCCCATGTAAAGCTGTTGGTTATACATTCAATAATTGTAAAAAAAAAAACTCCGAAACCAATTCTTCAAGTGAATCTATCATCAGCTCAAATGTAATCAACGCTAACAATGACATCGAAATACAACCCGCACCCACAGATAATGCTCCTCTCCTCCTACATCCGACCCATAGCCGGACAAAAACAGGAGCATACAATAATAAACTGGTCCTTAGAAACTGCTTCTACTACATCTTTAATATCCAGACATAATATCAAATCTAAAACAAAACGACTAACACAAAAATACCTTTATCTRACTCATCATATTCAAAACCTCCCGATTTCCAATCAACTTAATATCTCATACTCCCAATATTGAAAATGAAAAAAAAAATAATAGAGAAAATGGAAATACAATCTCGATCGAACTCATCCAGTAGATCAAACACCCTCACGAAGGAAGCGTTAAAAGTAATTGAAGATTATTAACACTATTGTCCTCGATAAGAGATCAAACCACGTACAAAMTGCTCTTCCCCCTCAGAAGAAACATCAACACTATTGTTGAAGACATCACGCCCTTATAACATATACCACCAATGTAAAGCATTTTTAGAATTTATAGATTTTTAGTGTATCAAATTCTCAATCATAATATTGTTATATTTTTAAACGTTTTAAGATGTATAATTATAGCCATAGTACTGTAGCTGCGCTTTAAACAATAAATTTATACAATAGGTATTACATAATAATTTTTTTTCGTCATAGAATTATTATTTTATTTTKTATATATTTTTTTAGAACTATATGCTCTATGAAGTGTACTGTATGTTGAAGTTACAAGATCTAATTGGTTTTTGAGAATTTTAAATCAAACTTATAGTCAATTTAAAAATCAAAAGKAATTGCTTAATATTATGTGATTATAATATATTAGAGYAAYGAAGAAGAATATTAAACAAAAATTACAGTAATTCATAATTTGTTTCTATCAAATTCAGTATACATTTTGATTTCACTGGTTCAATGCTAATACTGTACTTATTAAGAACTATGCTTGATTCAAGTGATATAAAATTGTCGATTTTTGAACCAAGCTTGACCGAACGACAGAACCTTAAGTGTTTTGTAAAAAAAATTACCGTTCGCTTAAGAATGTAATAATTTATACTRATGTTAAATACTATTATAATAACGTATCGTTTTAATTTAATATTCCAAAATGGAATATATATTATAATTTTTTTCGAATGTTCTGGGWATCAACATTGGCTATATTACATTAATATTTGTTCATCGTTTAAATTGTTTTCATACACATATAAACATTTTAAGTTTAAATGAGTGGATAAGTGTAAATTCTCACGATTTCCATTTCACTGCTGTCACTAGTTACTACCTACTTCACTTCTCTTATATTTATATTATAAACTTTTAAATGTTAATGGATAAAAATAAAATGCGTTACTTCAATATTTTATATTCACTATGCTACAATTTCGTCGGTTTTTTTTTCGAAATTTCGATAATAATATAAAATATATAAATATCGATCAAGAAAATACCTGATAAGCAAGCGCCGACAACAAGTCTCGGTCAGGAACCACACCCAACGGCATTATTTCTTCTAAAATTACACTTGCTGCGATCTTGTGATACTGGATGATGGGCGCGAAGTGTTCCCGGAACARAGAACGCCAATCTGCATCTTCGGAATTGGCATTGTTGTTGTCTGCAGCATCAGCGGCATATTTCTTTGCCCACATCAGCGCAGCCTGCAGCACCCCCGAAATTGTAATTTGTGTACGTAATATTATAATAATTAATAGCGCATATCTAACATACTTTATACCTAATAGACAGTGTAGTAAATCACTATAGACTTATCACTCATTAAATTAACTACATTCTACATTTTAAACAATTTTGAATGAAATATTTAAAATATCTGTGTTCTCGGATATTGTTTTTTTTTTTTTGTATTATATTTTTAAATAAAACCTCTCATCGTTTATTATTTTAACCTTCAGATTACAGACTGTACAGGTTTTGTCTCGTTCAACTGGTTCAAGWACATTAATACGTATAGGAGTACATTTACCTGAAATTTTGTCAGCTCATCCGCTCGTAACTCGTCCCGTGACAGTATAAGTCGGACCACGTGTTGTGGCAATAATGTGAACGATCCAAGTGTAAGCACGCGTCCACCATTCTCGTCTACGAACTCGAGCACCTTTGGTAATCACATGATTTCGTTAAAATTCTTTTAATTAAATTATTTCATATAAATATAGATATGTAACTTGTGTAGTAATTAATGTATAATTATAATTATTATTTATTTACAGACTTGCAGTAGGTATAAAATAAAAACGACTAATACATTTCCTACAAATCAACGCCATAAGTCCAAAAAAAGTACGAAAATCCATCATCACAATATTAGTTTAATACAATAATGTAATTTTACTGTCATAAAAAAATACACGTACAATTCACACATTGAAACATATACATACATACACACACATACACACACCTAATAAATATACAAATTACCAAACATAAAGTCATTGGTAGGTATATCAATTCTATAAAATAATATAAAATAAAACACTATATTTTTTATTCATTGTTTACTGATTAGCATTGACTTTACTTTTTTTCATATTATATTCGTTATAAAACAAAATTTCAATATGCAAGGTTAAAAATATGGAAAATTCTTATTATACTCAATACTCATCTACATGGATAATTAAATTAAATGCTGGCCAAACAAATTCTATAATTTCTCAAATGTACCAACTAAGTCACAAGAATAATGAGAGTTAAGAAGGGCTCAGATTAAATTTTAATTTTTCAGTATATGATTGAAAAGTAACAAAAATTTGAGGAAAAAATGACACACCAATAGTTTTTTGAGTTTTTTCAATTGCTTAATTGGTTAAATTGAAACGAATTTATTGTTTATTTACAAAATTCTACAACTATTCACTAAATTTACTAGGTAATTAGGTATATTTTAAAAACATCTATGATTTTAGGTTTATTATTAAACTGTTAAGTTAGGTATTTGTGATATTATTGCTATGTTAGATACCTACTTCTACGAACTAATAACCTACATATAAACAATTTTGATGGGGATGAGCTATAACAAAATATAATTTTTTGAAATCAATAATTTATGAAATTAATGTAAAAGAATTAATAAAAATTAGTAATAGCCGATAGGTACATATCACACGGTGAGGGAAGAGAGACGGATGTCCAATATTAACTTATAGCCTGTCTGCTTTTTAAATATTCCATTAAACATWTTTTTATGTTATTTTCTGTTTTAATTCTCATGTTTGATGTTTTAGTAGGGATTAAAAAAATTCTTCGATTTAATTTATTTTAAACCAAATTTTTAATACCTATTTGATTACACAGTTGTTTTTTTTTTACATAATATATTACATTATATTTTATTAAATGAATATAAAATCTGAGCCCATTAATGACGTTTTAATTTTACAATTTAAGACTATTACGCAAATATTATGTAGGTATAGTTCTACTAGAATTCAAAATGATGATGAAAATGACTTCTACTCATATAGTCACTTTTAATTTTACATCCGTTCGCAGTTATAAGCTTTTATATTAGGAAAATATATAATTTGAATTATCTTGGCAGTTAACATTTTTTTTTWAATTTTTATTTCAACCCGGGTGGTGCGGGTGCCAATAAGGACGCAAGTTTCACCATTAAAGTCTATTATCCATTTTACACCGCTTCAATGTGTAAAGTAAAGAAATAAAGTTTTCTTTTGTTCTCGACTATGGCCTATAAACTGAGAATATTATTATACACCTTAACACCTACCGGTTATTACCAAACAGTTTATATAGAAATAACAAGACGTTGTTAAAAAGATAAATAATAATTTTATGTAAGCACTTTAGCAGTATATTGTTATATTTATATTTTATTTCCGGAATAAAAACGTTTTATTTTTATTGTTTAGAAACATTTTGTACCGAAAAAAAAGTATATTGTATATTTTTAGTTTTGAATTGTGTAGAAATTCTATTTGTATATAAATATACAATACGATATGTCAATAATATTCAATATACATATTGTACCTAGTAAATTATTTTTATATAGCCAATACCGTAATTACATATGATATCATCAGCTTTATTTTTATACATGCATAAATTATAAGAGTATATGTGTTCAATGATAGTAAATGCAAATAAAAAAAATGCGTTTTATAGTTAAAGGACTATTTATTATATATAAACATATAATACATATACAATATACATAATATGTATTATATATAATATATAAT